AAATTGACATTTAGGTAAGGTATTTTTTTAAGTTTTTGTAAGCCTAAACTGTGAGGTTCTTAAGAAATTTGTGTTTCTAATATTGTAGGTGTGAATATTATGACTTAAAATGTGACTAGATTTGGTGTTGTGGATTTCCATTAAAGAATATGGTAAAAACAGGCACGGTAGCGACAAGATTTGAAGATGTTTAAAAATGGGTCGACAATGTTCCTTAGCTTTGGCCTTCACTAAAACTCTAACCACTCGTTTTTGCAATTTAAAGATTTTTATGGCATTCACTGAATTGCCCCATAAAATTATACCATAACTAAGATGGGAGTTGAATAACGAAAAGTAACAGGTCCTAAGGATGTCAGGTGAAAGAAATAGGACAGTTGCCTAATTACGAAAATAGAACTGGAAAGTTTTTTGCCAAGTTGAAAGAAATGAAGGGGAGAAAAATCCAGTTATAATGATATCACCCCTTTTTCCAATTCATTTACCAGGAAACGAGAAGCCCCGTATTGCTGAAATATCGGATTTTCTTCATGGTAACGTTGGTCGTTTTCCATAATTTCGATCGGCGCACAGTGGTCGAAAAAGGGGAAACAGCTGGCCAGAATTGAAAAAATCAATGTTTTTTTTCGTAAAACAAAATACGGTATTCTATAAAGAACCTATTTCTGCACCAACTGCCAAAAATATGTGGCTATGTTTTATCCATTTGTGCTTTGAGAAAGCGAGTAAGAGGGCCTACCGCCATACCTGAGCGAGACGTTTCGAAACGTCAAATTTTACGCTCTGTTAAAAGTGCTGTAGATTTTGTTTAGTGCGCGATTTCTTTGACGATACACAGAGCGAGTTGCTGAGAGTACGTATTATAAAATTTTAATACGAGGTTTATGATATTTATGCATGATATATTATAATAGTGACCTCAAAGTTATCTACTCAGAAACTTTTAGTCAACAAAAAAAGTAAATGAAAAACATGTTTTTAAAAAATGCGCCGCCTTGCCCCGATATAATTTCTATCAAAATACAACAAGTTAACAAGTTACTTAACATAAAATTAAAAATTTGGCTGTGACCAATTGCGATTTTTGTTTTAAGGTCGCTTACAAGGTAGGTAAGCGTGAATCGTGCTTAGGCGCATTACCAGCCCAACTTGTACAATAATGACGAGCCTGATGTAGAATATCCGGGTGATTTGGATGTAGTACTAAATGAAGATTCCATTTAAGAAAATTAATTTAATTAATTTGAGATTAATAAATAAATAAAATGTTTTTTTTTTATTTTGTAACCTTAAATTTGTATAAATTTACCTCCGGAAACCCTAAAACTCATTTTTACAGGTGCAACGGTATTTTTAACAAAAACAAACAGCCATTTTGTGGTAAAAATTTTGTTCTCAATCATTTTGACCTCAAATTTGAGGTCCTTGACACCGAAAACCCCTTTTCGTCATTTTTTTCAGTTCGTTCTCATTTTGTATTTTACTATTTTGACCTCAAATTCGAATTCTCGGACCTCAAAAACATAAAGGTATTTATTTTCAAATGAATTCGCTCTCTATTTAAATTTTGGCCAGCTTTTTGTGTATTTTCGACCACTATGCGGCGCTGGGTTGACATCATAAGTTAAAACATTAATATAAACTGCGCACCACTAACTTTTTTGTTTCTTGAACGATTTTATTTTGGTCTGTGATGTCTGCTAGCCCAATCCTCTGGCAATTCATGCTATAGATATAGATATAGCTTAAGGTTCTTCAAGTAAATTTTCTACAGGGTGATATGTTAAACTGCGAAAAATTTCAATAACTTCATCCAAGCCCCGTTTGTAAAAAAATAATTTTTTTCTCGTTTTTACTGTGAAATAATGAAGTATTATGTCTTACCTTGAAAAGGTTTTCATATTTTTCGTATTGGAAAATATGAATTTTTTCCAAAAGAGTAGGCTTTTTTTGTAGGCAATACACTCAGTCTTTTTAGGAACAAGAAGATAAGATGGTGAAAGATTGTTCCTTAAATAATTCTGAACAAGCGACAAGCAACAAACTTCCATCATTTTCAGAGGGCCTAAGCAAAGACCACTTTTTCAAAATAACATTTTGGTGAAAATTTGCGAAAACTAATCCTGAACCGATATTTACGTTCGTGACATGTTTTCTTTATAATTTTGACCTCCTGATTGTGATTCAGTTGTGAAAAGTTTCAGAAAAAACCAAAATCACTAAGAATCATAATTCGAAAACAATTCCCGGCTGTTTTTAGTTTTTACTGTTTTATACAGTGTTTTGCATCTTTAGTACGTTATTATCATGTCGCTGAATGATCATATCAAGGATCAAATGAATATTAGTTCTTGAAAATCATTCAAAACGCATTATGATTTTTTTTAGTTTGCTTGGTTTTCCAAATTCCGAAGTTTTTTTTGCATAAGTTATACCTTCCTACCTACATACCTACCCCTATCTTACCCAGGTTACTTTAAATGATTCAAATACCAATGCCAGATTCCAATTCGAAAGACATAATACTTCATTATTTCAAAGTAAAAACGAGAAAAAAATTATTTTTTTACAAACGGGGCTTGGATGAAGTTATTGAAATTTTTCACCGTTTAACATATCACCCTGTAGACAATTTACTTGAAGAACCTTATGCTTCATATCTATATCATGAATTGACAGAGGATGGGGCTAGGAGACCAAAATAAAATCGTTCGAGAATCAAAAAATTTATGTCGTTTTGAAAAAGAACAATTTTTTTGGTCGCGACACATTGAGTGGTGCGCAGTTTAATTAATTAAAATCATTCTAAAATAAAATAAAATAAAATTTTCTATCATTCTCGAATGCAAAATTGTCAACAGTAATAATTATATTTTAAAAAAACAACTTTTTTTAAAAAACCTAAAAATGACAACGCATTACTAATAACTCAACTCGTAACTTGACATTAAAAATAACACAGGCTTACAAAAAAAGAAGTGCCATAAATAAGATTATGGTAATTCTATCTACAAGTGATATGCCGGAGAAGTAAATGAAGATTTGCCTTATTCGGCTCCTTCAATCAGACAAGGGATGTTATTACCATTACCGTTCTGATTCCTATTATTATTATTATTGGCTATAATAATATTAGTAAATTATTATACGAGAGATAATGCAGGCCATTATTCACGAGGATGAAGTTTACGTCTCGAGTCGCCAGACGGGAGACTTAAATCATCCGAGTAAATAATGCGCACATTCTCGAGTGTAATACTATACTTTATCTACTCCAATAAGTAGAGAATTAAATGATTTTCAAAATCAAATAAATAAAATCTGACATCTATCAATGAACCTCACTTTAGACCAATTTTAAATGTTATTATAGTCGCCTTCTTCTTAAAACCTGATTGGTTGAAATCACAGTGAATATCTATTGAAATTGGCCAATCACTGATGCCCACAAACGTGAATAATGAGTTTATTAATATGAACAGAAAAACCCCTAAACTACCCTATTGTAAATGACCAAAAACCAATTGAAGTATTGGTTGGTATCAATGGGTCTGAATTGGACTTACTGGATTTAATTATTGGTATTTTCCATGATAGAAAAGTCCAATTAGGATTCTAATGGTTTTTATTGGTTTCGATTGGATAAAGCTACCTATGAGTAATTCCCAATTAAATTCCATTCCATTGTAAGATTCTAAAAAGGAATCTGGTAATTGGTTATTCCCAATACTTTAAAATATGGAAAAATTCAATTGGGATTCTACTTTTTTTTGGCGGTTTCGATTGGATAAAGGCATTCCCAGTGTAAGATTCGAAAAATCTGCTAATTGGTTATTCCCAATATAATACAAATATCGCAAGAGGCTCTCGTGTAGCTGCGCAAAATCAACGAGGTTGAGACGCCATCATAAAGAAAAAACAACAAGTCTTTGGATGCCATTTATTAGCGGTTTTTTTTATTAGTCGATTTCTGTTAAGTGCCTAGTGTTAGTAGTGTACTTATATATTAAAAAAATGTTTAGGGACGATAGCGTAAATTTGACATAAAAACATATAAACATAAAAAAAACAAATAAAATTACTCAGTAACAATACATTTTTTGTCTCTTCTGTGAAAAATGAATTCTGGTATTTACCCGGTTATCCTTCTGGGATCTAAAATTATTTTTGAATGAAAAATAAACTGGTAGGTATTTTCTAATCCAAATTTTAAAACATTAATTGGTTTTAATTGGTTGGAATGGGTTTGGCGCTATGAATTACCAATTCATTCCATGTGCATTTCAATTGGATTTAGCCAATAGAGACAAGCATAGGTATGGATTGGTATTTCCCAATCCAAGCCGCTATTGGAAATTACCAATAGGAATTCAACTGGAATGAATTGGTGATTCATAGCGCCAAAACACATTTCAAACCAATTCAAACCAATTACTTATTTTTTATTGGATTCTATTGGTCATTTACAATATGGTATGCAATAGGAGTAGATAAATATAAAAAAATAACCATTCCCATTACTATTACAATTCCCATTTCCATGATTTCGATCAAATAATGAGTCGTTCCCTAATTTTCACTGTTTTTTACCATAATTTTTTTAATTAAATAAATTATCTTCTTTTAAAATGTGGTATCGTTAAATGCTTTGTACTCTACAAACAATAACAAAATGCCTTTTTTACATTTTAAAAGAAGAAAATTTAATTATAAAAACATTTTGACCCTCTTCTGTTGCAAAATTCTAAATTTATAGATAATAATAATACTTTGGCTTTAGCAAATATTTACATAGGAATCTGATAAAAACTATTAAGTGGTAAATAACGCTAAAAATAATTGTAAAATAAAAACATTTCAATCACATAATACGACATGCGTGCCTAATAAACATACTGCATCATTATTATTTAATTAAGCTGCATTAAATTTATCATGATCTACGAGTACAATTGTAATTGTAATAATTTTTACTATCAAGGTCAATGTCTATGATTAAGGTTTTCTAAATGTTTGTTTAATTCATTCAGGTGAATAGCTTAGCTTTGTTAAGTGTTGTTTGTTGTTGGTACCATGGCTAGTGCAGTAACAGTGGATTTCATAGCTAGGAAAATAGCTGAAAATGAAAACATATCAAACTATGAAGTTATTCTGCAAGACCCAAACAAAAAGGGCGAGGGGTACATGGGGGAGTTAAAGTTTTTTTCTTTGGTGGACAGTGGGACGAAAAAAGTGATTCTGGATTTAGCCTGGAAGGAGTCTCTTAAGAACCCCTTGGTACGCGAAGTGCACCCCATAAGAGACTTATATTTAAACGAGATATTTTTTTACAAAACACTGGGGCCGGAGTTGTTAAAAGTTCAAAAGAAAAATAAAATAGAAAAACCAATAGTAAATATACCAAAATACTATTTATCCTGCGATGGGGATATGAAGGAGTACTTGGTGTTAGGTAACATGAAATCAGAAGGATACAGTATGTTTGATAAAAATAATATTATGACCCCCGATCAGTATAAATTTGTATTCAGGCAGTATGGCAAGTTACACGGTCTTTCTTTTGCGTTTAAAAAGCAAAACCCTGATTTATTTAAAAAGTTAACGGAACAAATTTTGCCAGGGTTTGATTCGGAATACAGAGGGTTTGGTGAAAGCATACATTTTGCATGCAAGTCGATTTACGATTTTTTTTCGGAGGCGGACGGTGGTGTGTTGAAAGCATTTGAAAAATATAGAGATAGTGGTGAAGCAATTTTCAAAAAAAGTCTAAAATATAAGGGAAACAATGGGATTGTGACACATGGAGATTCATGGAGTAATAATTTTTTGTTTACTTATGATGTAAGTAGATTTTTTATTATTTTTCTTCTAGGCAAGATAAACTATAATATTTACAAGGTCGTCTTTATTACATATTAATAACAACTTGTTATTAACAAGTAGGTATTAAATTAAAATTAATGTTTTTAAAACTTATATGCACCATCCAAATGATATCAGTTTTGCCTTGAATATATTTAAAAATTGTTTTGATTTTTAATACAAGGTCTGAAGATTCAGACCTTAATATTATTTTAGCCCCAACGAACTGTTCAAAATGTACTCATACCATGTAAAGGTATTATTACCGAAAAATCTCTTAACTTTTTTTTATCACAGGAAAATGGTAATTTCAGCAAAATGGCATTCATAGATTTTCAGTGCATCAGGGTAGCTTCTCCGGTACATGATTTGGCATATTGTTTTTACACTGGAGCCTCCAAAGAAGTACTAGATAAACTGGATGAAATATTAAAAGTATACCATGAAAGTTTGTCGGAGGTTTTGGGTCAATGCGGGGAAAATGTCGAAAAGGTTTACCCATTTTCAGTATTAAAGGAAGAGTGGAAATTATATTCAAAAATGGGTAAGAAATACGTTTCTCATTTCCAATATTAAATCTAAATGATACTTAATGTTCATTTCACTTTCAAATAAATTATTTAAGATAATATGTTTTCAAAAAAGAACTATAAAAACCAACCGTTTTTACCAAATAAGTTTTAAATTTAAATAAATATTAATATATTTACAAACTAATAGCGATTTTTAATAACAAAAATCAAGGTGTACATTTACATTAGTCTATTAATTGTATATTGTGCGACTAGTGGGAGAAGAAAGCGTGGAGTTTGCGACACACATTTTACCTCACTTTTTTTTCAAATTTAACTTAAAGCTAACTTCATTTTAAAATTTTGGAAATAAGAAATAGGAAATAAGCAATAAGAAATACGAAATAAGAAGTAAGAAATAAGAAATAAATAAATAAACTGTTCTAAAATTGCGTTTATCAAACTATTATCTACCTCTACATAGATGAGCTGTGACCTTATGGCGTTTTAGTCACAGGCTGAAGTTAACAACAGTGGCTTTTGGGAATTTTAAAAACGTGCTTGAGGACTTAATTAAGTTAGCTTTATTATAAATTGCGAAAAATTGAGGTTAAATTCGTCAAATGTCAAATATTTATGAATTAAAATTGGCTTTAAATTCTTATTTCTCTTGGTCCTAGATAAAGTATAGAATGCCTAATAAAACTTGTAACTAAATTGGAGTTTATAAAACGATACAAATAAACTATTATCTACATTGGCGAGCTGTGACTTTATGGAGTTGTAGTCACGGGCTGAAGTAAGCAATAAAGGCTTTTGGGCATTTTAGTCACACCAAAAAGGTATAGTTTAATTCTTCATATGTCAAATATGAATTAAAATTAGCATACAATTATTATTTCTGTTTGTCGTAGAAGTATAGTATGCAACTTTATAAACTTCTCTAGACACTCGTTTTTATTAAACACTCGTGCTTAATAAAACTCGTAACTAAAATGTGATTGATTAAACTTGATACATAATATACTATAATATATTATTATAAAAATTTTATCGATAAATTAATAATATTTTATTGTAAATTTGGATTTTAAAAAATAAATTATAAAATAATAGATATTTTTTTTCTATCTAACATGTTTTTAACATTAAACTACTTTTTCTTTGTATTTTAGGCATGATCTTCTCATTTATAATTTGGAAAGTAAAAACAAGGACACCAGAAGAAATGATTGATGTAAACGACCTGCTAAATGATAAAAAATATTTATGTGTACCTAACAAAACAACATACAAAACTAGCATCAGAAATATAGTAATACATATGCATCAAATAGGTGCACTATAATAAAATAATAATTATTTATACTTATCTGTTAATAAAAGCAAGATATTTTATTACCCATTAATAAATGCCTATTTTTATTTATTTTCTTTTTTTTAATAATTTACCACCACAAATAAAACAAAAAAAATAAAAGACCATTTTATCTATATATAGTTTAATAGGATAATTATTTTTATATTTACAAGAATAAATTATTTTTTTATTTCTAACCTATCATAAAAGCAAATACTAAAATTAAATACTGAAATACATATAAATAGAGTTTTAACTACACTGTGTTAAGTCTTTATTTTTCATTAAAATAGGAACAAACAATTTATTGAAAACATTATTATTATTATAAACTAGCTTCTAAATAAAACTTAATAATTAAATTATTTACAACATAAAAATATCTATAGAAGTAATTGTCGAATTAAATGAACAATGTTGCTCTTAAATTTGCATAAAGCAAAGCTTTTTTGTGACACTTAATTGCCTATTTTATGAGATTTCCATTTATATTATAATTTATAACTAATCTACAATTTATACATCTAATTATTTCTAATAATTCTATCAAGCAAATTTTCGTTTTTATTACTTTTAACATTATTTTAAAATAAAGTAACACATAGATACATAAATAGGAAAACTATTATTAACAAAAATCTTCAAAACCAAGAAAAAACCCTGACTACCGAAACTAATTATTTACACTGAATTGAAAATATGATTTATTTCGACGCAAAGTCACTTTGAATACTTTTTAGCGAAAAAAAGCATTTAAGGAAAACCCTACCACGTATCACAGCTTAAACTAAAATTTATTTTTTGTATTTAATAAAATTAACCGAAACACTACGACTAATAGTTTAAAAACATCAGACTTTTGAAGAATAATCGCCAGAGAGGATCCATCCAGTCTCTAGTAATTATAATTGTACCAAGGCGTCCAAAAGTATACAAGATATATCTTAAATTATAATTTTAAATGCACAATTATAATTTATGCACAAGGGGTTGTTTTTTTAATTTGCGACTCTATTTTTTATGGGAATTCTAAATTTTGGAAACTTAGAGTTCCCAACCGATTTGCTCAAATTTAATAATTAAAAATAAAAGAGGTAAGTCTGATTAACTCTGTACGACAAAAATGGTCATTACCATAATTGACTGGAAAATAGGGAAAATCGATATGCATGGAAACTTTTGGGCGCGATGGCAGAGAATACAAATAAATCATATTTTGTTCATTATAATAAACTTTAAAAAAATAAATAAATTTAATTATCACAAACTTAGTAAAAAATAATTTATTAACAACAACGATTAATTTCTATTAATCCTAGATGTTGTTATTTTGCTGTATCCGATTATTGTTGTGCGGAATACTTTCGTATTTGCAATTCGATATGTCGAAACTACTTTTGTTGCGCTTTTTGATTAGAATTATAAATAGGGTGATGATGGTGACCATAAGTAGGACCACTATTGCCCCCAGAATAGGAAAGACTGAAACAAAATTGCTATTAGAAATATTATTAATAATAGCCGTCCATAAATGATATCACACCTTTTTTTAATATTTTTGACCCCCCTCCCCCACTTGTCACAAAGTGTCACAAATTATGGGACCCTCCCTCCCCATTGGCGTCACGTTTAATTTTTATGTAAGGTCTACCCCACGAAATTTTTGCTTAAAATAAAATCTTAATATCCAGTTTATAACCATTATTAATTATTAAATTCCAAAATATTTTCATAATTTTATATATAACCTATAAACAATATCGACTTCGACCATGCCTACAAACATCCTTTGCTAGAAAGACAAAAAAATGATTTTAACCGAGTAATTTTATTTATTTTTTATTACTTTTTTGTAATAGTAAGATATATGTATCAATACATATATATATATATATATATATATATATATATATATATATATACAAAAAAAATAAACAAATAAAATTACTCAGTAACAATTATTTTTTTGTCTCTTCTGTGAAAAATTAATTCTGGTATTTACCCGGTTATCCTTCTGGGATCTGAAATTATTTTTTAATGAAAAATAAACTGGTAGGTATTTTCTAATCCAAATTTTAAAACATTAATTGGTTGGAATGGGAATGGGTTTGGCGCTATGAATTACCAATTCATTCCATGTGCATTTCTATTGGATTTAGCCAATAGAGACAAGCATAGGCATGGAAATTACCAATAGGAATTCAACTGGAATTAATTGGTGATTCATAGCGCCAAAACACATTTCAAACCAATTCAAACCAATTACTTATTTTTTATTGGATTCTATTGGTCATTTACAATAGGGTACTATTACAATTCCCATTTCCATGATTTCGATCAAACGATGAGCTGTTCCCTAATTTTCACTGTTTTTTTTACAATAATTCTTTTAATTAAATAAATTTTCTTCTTTTAAAATGTGGTATCGTTACATGCTTTGTACCCTACAAAGCATTTAACAATAAAAAAATGCCTTTTTTACATTTTAAAAAAAGAAAATTTATTTAATTAAAAAACTTCTCTAAACAATAAACATCTTGACGCTCTTCTGTTGCACAATTTTAAATCTATAGATAATAATAATACTTTGGCTTTAGCAAATATTTACATGGAAATCTGATAAAAAAACTATTAAAAGGTAGATTAAGCTAAATAAATTTACTTCTTAGTAGGTACGACAAAAATAACGCTAAAAATAATTCTAAAATAAAAACATTTCAATGACATAATACGACATGCGTGCGGCCGGATTTAGCATGGGGCCAGCGGGGCCACGGCCCCAGGGCCCCCACCATTTAGGGGCCCCTACCAATGCAATATGTAGCTTTTTAATGAAACGAATATGAATTTTTTTTTTCAAAAAAATAAAATTGGGTCGGTTATACCGCGCGAATCAGAATGTAAATTATCAGTGATACACTCAAGGTTTTGGCGCTTAAGACGTTTTTATAGTCTATAGTCATAAGTTATGACTCATGACAATTTTAAGCAGTTGCTCCTTTAGTGCTTGTCGTAACGTTTTTGTAAGTACAGGCAAACAGTAAATTAATTATAACCTAATATTAAAGTTAGTTTTTGTCCCAGATTTTTATTGGTACATTGGAGTGTTGTGGAAAATTTTCCGGTGTTTCCGAAATACTGTTTCGTGCTTTTCTTTGGACTTGTTTTATTGTTTGATTTTGTATGAAAAACAGACAAATAATTCGACTTTTGATGCACTTTTTATCAGTTTGCGGTAAGTATTAAAAATACAAACAAAACATAGATCAATTTATATTTTACTTGAGTAAAATATTTATAAGGTTATTTTCGTATTATTCCAAATATACAGGGTGATTCAGACTTGTGGTGACAAAAGCTCAGGGGAAATTCCTCTCATCAAATTTGAAAAAAAGTTCCTATAAACACGTGTCCGAAAATGCTTCATTATCGAGATACAGGGTGTTTCGTTTACAAAAAATGAGTTTTTTATTTTTAGCTTAAAAACGCTTTTCCGATTTTATTAAAATTTATATGGTTTATTAAATAATAAATGATTCAAGGATAATAAAAAAACACGTAAAGTTCCTCTAGCTTAAAAATTTACCATGAGTTTTAATTTGTCATTTGAAATACTGAGGGCCCCCACCAAATTCGGCCCCAGGGCCTCAAAACTCTTAATCCGGCCCTGTGCGTGCCTAATAAACATACTGCAACATTATTATTTAATTTAGCTACATTAAATTTATCATCATCTACGAGTATAATTGTAATTGTAATAATTTTTACTATCAAGGTCAATGTCTATGTTTAAGGTTTTATAAATGTATGTTTAATTTATTCGGGTGAATAGCTCAGCTTTGTTAAGTGTTGTTTGTTGTTGGTAGCATGGCTAGTGCAGTAACAGTGGATTTCATAGCTAGGAAAATAGCTGAAAAGGAAAACATATCAAACTATGAAGTTATTCTGCAAGACCCAAACAAAAAGGGCGAGGGGTACATGGGGGAGTTAAAGTTTTTTTCTTTGGTGGACAGTGGGACGAAAAAAGTGATTCTGGATTTAGCCTGGAAGGAGTCTCTTAAGAACCCCTTGGTACGCGAAGTGTACCCCATAAGAGACTTATATTTAAACGAGATATTCTTTTACAAAACTCTTGGGCCGGAGTTGTTAAATGTTCAAAAGAAAAATAAAATAGAAAAACCAATAGTGAATATACCAAAATACTACTTATCCTGCGATGAGGATATGAAGGAGTATTTGGTGTTAGGAAACATGAAATCAGAAGGATACAGTATGTTTGATAAAATTAATATCATGACCCCCAATCAGTATAAATTTGTATTCAGGCAGTATGGCAAGTTACACGGTCTTTCTTTTGCCTTTAAAAAGCAAAACCCCGATTTATTTAAAAAGTTAACGGAACAAATTATGCTAGGGTTTGATTCGGAATACAAAGGGTTTGGTGAAAGCATACATTTAACATGCAAGTCGATTTACGATTTTTTTTCGGAGGCGGATGGTGGTGTGTTGAAAGCATTTGAAAAATATAGAGATAGTGGTGAAGAAATTTTCAAAAAAAGTCTAAAATATAATGGAAACAATGGGATTTTAACACATGGAGATTCATGGAGTAATAATTTTTTGTTTACCTATGATGTAAGTAGATTTATTAAACTAATTATTTTTCGCCTAGGCAAGATAAAATATAATATTTACAAGGTCGTCCTTATTACATATTAATAACAACTTGTTATTAACAAAAATGCAATCAAGTTTTGCCCTGAATATATTTAAAAATTGTTTTGATTTTTAATACAAGGTCTGAAGATTCAGACCTCAATATTATTTTTACCCCAAGGAACTATTCAAAATGTACTCATAGAAAACCCAGATCATAGCCTTCATTAAAGCAATACCATGTAAAGGTAAATCTCTTAACTTTTTTTTCATTACAGGAAAATAGCAATTTCAGCAAAATGGCATTCATAGATTTTCAGTGCATCAGGGTAGCTTCTCCAGTACATGATTTGGCATATTGTTTTTACACTGGAGCCTCCAAAGAAGTACTGGATAAACTGGAGGAAATATTAAAAGTATACCATGAAAGTTTGTCGGAGGTTTTGAGTCAATGCGGGGAAAATGTCGAAGAGGTTTACCCATTTTCAGTATTAAAGGAAGAGTGGAAATTATATTCAAAAATGGGTAAGAAATACGTTTTTCATTTACAATATTAAATCTAAATGAGACTCGATGTTTATTTCACTTTAAAATAAATTATTTAAGATAATATGTTTTCAAAAAACAACTATAAAAACCCAACCGTTTTTACCAAATAAGTTTTAAATTTGAATAAATATTAATATATTTACAAACTAATAGCGATTTTTGTCGGAAAGGGAGAAAGAAGAGATTTCCTGAGCGTGGAGTTTGCGACACACAATATTTTACCTCACTTGTTTCCAAATTTAACTTAAAGCTAAATTTTGGCTTAAGATTACGCATTCTTTAGGTGTACGTATTCATGCTCACTTAAAATAAGAAATAAGAAATATGAGATAAGAGATGAGAGATAAGAGATAAGAGATAAAAAATAAGAGATAAGAGATAAGAAATAAGAAATAAGAAATAAGAAATAAGAAATAAGAAATAAGAAATAAGAAATAAGAAATAAGAAATAAGAAATAAGAAATAAGAAATAAGAAACAAGAAACAAAAAACTAGAAACAAGAAACAAGAAACAAGAAAGAAGAAATAAGAAATAAGAAATAAGAAATAAGAAATAAGAAATAAGAAATAAGAAATAAGAAATAAGAAATAAGAAATAAGAAATAAGAAATAAGAAATAAGAAATAAGAAATAAGAAATAAGAAATAAGAAATAAGAAATAAGAAATAAGAAATAAGAAATAAGAAATAAGAAATAAGAAATAAGAAATAAGAAATAAGAAATAAGAAATAAGAAATAAGAAATAAGAAATAAGAAATAAGAAATAAGAAATAAGAAATAAGAAATAAGAAATAAGAAATAAGAAATAAGAAATAAGAAATAAGAAATAAGAAATAAGAAATAAGAAATAAGAAATAAGAAATAAGAAATAAGAAATAAGAAATAAGAAATAAGAAATAAGAAATAAGAAATAAGAAATAAGAAATAAGAAATAAGAAATAAGAAATAAGAAATAAGAAATAAGAAATAAGAAATAAGAAATAAGAAATAAGAAATAAGAAATAAGAAATAAGAAATAAGAAATAAGAAATAAGAAATAAGAAATAAGAAATAAGAAATAAGAAATGACAAATAAGAAATAAGATAATAAGTTGAAACTGTGTAAATTATTTCATGAAAATAAGAAATAAGCAATAAGACTAAAGAAAAATAATTTTGGCTCTATAAAAGTGCGCAAAAGGACAAAATAGATATGTGAATTGGTTTTATGTGTTGGCCCTGGAGCGATCGCGTATTTTTTTTAATAACAACTTAAATACCATAGAAATAATACTCAAACTAATATTATTTTTATGTTAAATACAGATAACCGTGGACTGCTGTCATTACACCCAAAAAACACTCCCGCAACTAAATGGTAAAATTTTTTATTTCTTATGTTATCAGCATAAACGATCAATCGCTACCTTATTTCTTATTCATTATTTCTTGTTTCTTATTTCTTATTTTAAGTGAGCATGAAATCGCATTTTATGTTATAAATGCATACCCGGTGTATTCGGGAATAAAAAATTGCAAAATAATTTTCATTAATTTAAGCTTTGACGCTACGTAGCGTCTGTTACAGTGTGATTGACTTTGAATGTAAACGTCAAAAAGTCACCAATATTTTTTATCAAATGACAAATGTAGAATAAAATTAAATCAAATGCCTCACACGTTTTAATAAATAATATGCATAATATATTATTTTTTCTACTCCCACCTTTAAAACGCCCTTTATCGTACATGTTTCCATGACACTAAGTGACCTTTTAAATACACATTGACAAGTTGTGGCTTTACGGCGCTTTGGTCACTGGCTAAAGTTAGTTAGTTTTATGTTAGTTGACAGTTGTCAAATGTCATACAATCGTTAAAATAAAGTGCCTTTCTTGTAAAATAATACTAAATATGAAAATTATGTTATTATCTCAATACAAAAATACAAAAATATTAAATAGTTTCTCAACGCCAATATTTGAAAAGTTTATATGAACATTGTACTGACCTTTTAATTTCGCAGGAAGTAAACTATAACTTAAATTCGGGCACGGACTCTACTGTAAAGTCCTCATAAAATATTTCCTTTACTTTCACTGTGAAAAACTGTCAATTTTCAAGATATATTTCGATTTATAACCTTTATAATTGTGTTTATAAAATGTAAAAATGTGACATTTGACAGTTTCCCCTGTTGTTTCATACAGTGGCGTATTTAGGGGGGGGTCCGCCGGGTCCGGACCCCCCCCGGGCGCACATATTTTATTATTTTTATTACAAAAAAAAGTTAAAAAAAAATAAAAATCTCAAGACTGTCAACGTACTATATTATTTATTAATTATATTTAAATATAAAATCATTAAAATCAAAAATCAACTACTTACGTATTAATGCATAGCATAGTACATATTTAGTTAGTTTTTTTGGACCCCCCCCCGGAGCTAAATCCTAAATACGCCACTGGTTTCATAGGTGGCGCTCTATACAAATTTTTGATTTAAATCATTTGATAATAATAAGTATTTGTCGTAGAAAAAGTATAGTATTCACCTCGTTTATAAACTTTTCTATACACTCATTAATTTTCTAAGCACTCGCTCGCAAGCTCGCTCGTGCCTAAATTAAATTCGTGTATAAAATGGCGTTTATCAAACTTGATACATAATATACTATTTTCTACTCCCACCTTTAAAACGCCCATTATCGTCGTATGTTTCCATGGCGTTTTCGTCACGGGCTGAAGTTAGTATTAAGTTAGTTAACAGTTGTCAAATATCATACAATCGTTAAAATAAAGTGCCTTTCTTGAAAAAATAATACTAAATGTGAACATTATTTTATTATCTAAATACAAAATTATTAAACATTTTCTTTACTTTCACTGTGTTGTTAATCCATTTTCAAAGAATACATTTCAATTTATAACCTTTATAATCTGTGTTTATAACACATAAAAATTCAAAAAGATTCCCCTATGGTTTTATAGATGGCGCTCTATATAAATATTTGATTAAAATCATTTTAAGATAATATTAAGTATTTGTCGTAGAAAAAGTATAGTAACTATGTTTATAAACTGTTCTAAACAATTATTATTATATTATATAATTATATACTCGCTCGCAATCTAGCTCGTGCCTAAATTAAATTCGTGTATAAAATGGCGTTTCACACTTTATACATGGATAAGCTGTGACTTTATGGAGTTACCAACAGTGGCTTTTGGGCATTATAAACACGTGCTTGAGCCTTGAGGACTTATTTAAGTTAGCTTTATTATAAATTGCGAAATAATAAATAATTTGTCAAATGTATATTTATATTTATGAATTAAAATTGGCTTTAAATTCTTATTTCTCTTAGTCGTAAATAAAGTATAGAATGACAATCGTTTTATAAATTTCTTTAGACACTAGTTTTAATTAAACACTCGCTCGTGCCTAATAAAACTTGTAACTAAATTGGAGTTTATAAAATTATACATAATAAACTATTATCTACTCCTACATTGACGAGCTGTGACTTTATTGAGTTTTAGTCAGGGGCTAAGTAAGCAATAGTGGCTTTTGGGCATTTTAGTCACGGGCTAAAGTTAGCTGTATTATAATTTGCAAAAAAGTGAAGTTAAATTCTTTAGATGTCAAATATGAATTAAAATTAGCATAAAATTCTTATTTCTGTTCGTCGTAGAAGTATAGTATGCAACTCGTTTTATAAACTTCTCTAGACACTCGTTTTTATTAAACACTCGTGTTTAATAAAACTCGTAACTAAAATGTCATTTATTAAACTTTATACTATAATATATTATTATAAAAAACTCGATAAATTAATATTTTAGTGTAAATTTGGGTTTTAAAAACTAAATTATAAATTAATAGATAGTTTTTTTCTATCCAACATGTTTTTAACATTAAAATACTTTTTCTTTGTATTTTAGGCATGATCTTCTCATTTATAGTTTGGAAAGCAAAAACAAATACACCAGAAGAAATGATTGATGTAAACGACTTGCTAAATGATAAAAAATATTTAGATGTACCTAACAAAACAACATACAAAAATAGCATCAGAAATATAGTAATACATATGCATCAAATAGGAGCACTATAATAAAATAATAATTATTTATAATTATCTGTTTAATAAAAGCAAGATATTTTAATAACCATTAATAAATGCCTATTTTTATTTATTTTCTTTTTTATAATAATTTACCAACACAAATAAAGCAAAAAAATAAAAGACCATTTTATCTATTTATATTTTAATAGGATAATTATTTTTATATTTACAAGAATAAATTATTTTTTTATTTCTAACCTATCATAAAAGCAAATACTAAAATTAAATACTGAAATACATATAAATAGAGTTTTAACTACACTGTGTTAAGTCTTTATTTTTCATTAAAATAGGAACAAACAATTTATTGAAAACATTATTATTATTATTATTATTATGAACTAGCATCTAAATAAAACTTAATAATTAAATTATTTACAACATAAAAATATCTATAGAAATAATTGTCGAATTAAATAAACAATGTTGCTCTTAAAGTTGCACAAAGCAAAGCTTTTTGTGATACTTAATTGCCTATTTTATGAGATTTTCATTTATATTATAATTTATAATCTACAATTTATACATCTAATTATTTCTAATAATTCTATTAAGCAAATTTTCGTTTTTCTTACTTTTAACATTATTTTAAAGTAAAATAACACATAGATACATAAATAGGAAAACTATTATTAACAAAAAATCTTCAAAACCAAGAAAAAACCCTGACTACCGAAACTAATTATTTACACTGAATTGAAAATATGATTTATTTCGACGCAAAGTCACTTTGAATACTTTTTAGCGAAAAAAAGCATTTAAGGAAATCCCTATTCCACGTATCACAGCTTAAAATTAAAATTTATTTTTTGTATTTAATAAAATTAACCGAAACACTACGACTAATAGTTTAAAAACATCAGACTTTTGAAGAATAATCGCCAGAGAGGATCCATCCAGTCTCTAGTAATTATAATTGTACCAAGGCGTCCAAAAGTATACAAGATATATCTTAAATTATAATTTTAAATACACAATTATAATTTATGCACAAGGGGTTGTTTTTTTAATTTGCGACTCTATTTTTTATGGGATTCTAAATTCTGGAAACTTAGGGTTCCCAACCGATTTGCTCAAATTTAATAATTAGAAATAAAATATTTAGAGGTGAGTCTGATCAACTCTGAACCTATGTATGCCACGACAAAAATGGTCATTACCATAATTGACTGGACAATAAGAAAATCGATATGCATGAATACTTTTGGGCGCGATGGCAGAGAATACAAATAAATCATATTTTGTTCATTAAAATAAACTTTAAAAAAATAAATAAATTTAATTATCACAAACTTAGTAAAAAATAATTTATTAACAACAACGATTAATTTCTATTAATCCTAGATGTTGTTATTTTGCTGTATCCGATTATTGTTGTGCGGAATACTTTCGTATTTGCAATTCGATATGTCGAAACTACTTTTGTTGCGCTTTTTGATTAGAATTATAATTAGGGTGATGATGGTGACCATAAGTAGGACCACTATTGCCCCCAGAATAGGAAACACTGAAACAAAATTGCTATTAGAAATATTATTAATTATATTAGTTAGTGTTGTGATTTACAACTTGCAAATAAGGGAACGTTCTAGATTGTGTACAATTTCCCAGCAGATAATTTGGAGCACAATCGAGAACTTTTCCTTGAATATGCTCAAAAATACTAAGCAAAATATTCGATCGCTAAACGGTAAAACCCGATAATACCTTTAAAACATTAAAAAATTGTTGAAAATTGTTGTATTGAGTACATACTACCACACAAACAGTTGTATTGAGTACTACATACTACAAACCAATCAGGTGAAGTTTGTTACATCCTAGTCTGTAAAAAAATCGTTAGGACCAATCAACAAATTCTATAACTACTGACAGCTCTGAGTAAAGTTCACAAGTGAAAATGTTACAAAATATTTCAAAAAATCAGTTTTATTAAGTTCTCAAAAACCTGTTCTAAAATATATTATTCGTACTCTGTTAAATGATTTATATCTTCTAACAAAAATTTACTTGTCAAAATTAAATTTTTGGACTTGTACAAGAATTCTTTATCTCACCGATTCAATTGTAAGTACGTTTTATGTATCGTTTAGCAAATAAAACTGTGCCTTGAAGCGTCGGCTTTCAAACTTTGAGCTTAGCACATACACACTCACTTAAAGGCTGAGTAAGTCTTTTTGTGCTGACCTACAATTAAAAAAAGAACAAGAGTTGTCAACAGATCGCATTTTTGTATTGGCCCTAATGGTTTTTTTACAGGCTAGGATGTAAAAAATTACTCCTCATTTGCTTAAATGATTTTTACAGCCTGGGACATAATCGAATACTTTGGTAGTGACAAAAATAAAGTTTATATTATAGAACGCTTGAATATAAAAGGAAAAATTGAACCTACACCTCGCCAAAGTTTTTTGTTTTGAGTGCGTTCCACCAACTTCAAATACCGACAGACAGCTGTTTCGACCTATATTGGGTCTCATCAAAACAAAAGACTTCCTGAGCTTATATGCTCGGTTGGTAAGCCAACAGAGGCGAGATGTAAGAACATCAGGTGATCTACACCGTCAAACGACGTGGCCTTTGCCGCAATCGGTACATACTATGCAACCGGGACTGCACACAGCAATTGTATCACAGATACTAATATTAAGGTAAACATTCAATTTTCTTAGTTTCTTTAAGAAACTTTCTTGACCCATTACTGGTAATATTCATAGAAAAAAATTGAACCTACACCTCGCCATTTTTTCTTATGATTATTACCAGTAATGGGTCAAGAAAGTTTCTTAAAGAAACTAAGAAAATTGAATGAATATAAAAGAGTTTTTTAATAAAAAATAGTATACTCGTATTTTGTGACAATTCCAAATGTGTATCAGACTATACTTTTTTTACGTATCCAAAAATACCATGGAAAAATAATTTAATTGGAATTGAGGTTGGATCGGTCTTGTTAGATAATAAACACAGAGATGTCGCCACCAGAGTTTATTCCCACATACTGTGGAAGTATGTGTTTATTCCGTCATCAGGTGATAGAATGAATTCATTTTGTAACACTTTTAGGAATATAGGCAATTTATCATAAAAAAGTGATACGGTCATATTCCGTAATAGAAGTATAATCTGTAACAAGTTTGGAATACAGCATATTCCGCTCGAGTGAAGAGTTTGTCACACGAGCCGAAGGCGAGTTTGACGGTTTCACGAGAGCGGAATATGCAATTCCAAATGTGTTTCAGACTATACTTTTTCTACGTTTCCAAAAAATACCATAGAAAAATAATTTAATTGGAAGAAAGTGAGGTTGGATCGGTCTAAAATTTGTTAGATATTAAAAACAGAGATGTCGCCACGAGTGTTTATTCTGTCATCAGATGATAGAATATTTCATTCTGTAACACTTTACGGAATATAATATACAGGCATGGTAATGGTAATGGGCTCTTAGGCCGTTTAATAAACAAAGATGCATGCTAAATGAAACGTACGAATAAGTGAGATAAACGTATAAATAAGAGAGACAAACAACCATTGTTGAACTAATAGGATAACAAAATACTTATTTCCCCTCTGCCATAAGCGTGCAGTACAAGATTTTAAAACGATTAAATCAAAACAATTAAACTTCCGCCAATGTTTTACTTCCCCTCCTCTAACTGCTTTACAATCCCACCAAGATACATACACCTTAAGATAGGATGGTGCGCATGTTGGGCGGGGTTTAAATATGTCACTTGATGAGTGTTTTTAAATCTTTAACGTACTTTTTAATTATCTGCTGCTAAAATTCTTGTTTTTGCGATGCTGTTGGATGTAAACTTGCTCTATTTTTTGTTTAACTTGTTGTTTTTGCTTTCGGTAAGGTTCGAATTACTTTTCAATGTTCAAATTATTGTTATTGCGTGGTGTTAACCTGTTCTTTTTGTTTATTATTGTTTTTGTGTTGCGTTAACTTGTTTTGTTTGTGTTTTAGCTTGTGTCGTACCATTTGCACTCATTAAAATGCGGTGTGGCATATTTGGATGCAATTCAGACAACAAGTCCAAGAAAAACCCTTTAAATAAAAACATTAAATTTAATCGATTCCCGAAAAACTTTGATTTGTGAAAACAGTGGTTAAATTCCACAAAAAGAATAGGCAATATTAACGTTAAGACCGCTTCTGTTTCCTATAAACATTTTCTGGACAATGGCTATAAGTTTAATTTAAAACATCAAGGGTTAAACTACAGCCCTAAATGTTATCAAGGACTAAAAGCATCTATTATCCATATTATAACACTTTCTTCAATATTAAGTTTAATAAAAACGCACTGTCCAGATATTTCTCTATTTCCTTTGGGACGTCATGCACGGCATGAACCAAAACTCGTACACGGGAGCATTCAGCCCTGGCGCGGCGCGGTCTGGCCTGCCCCACCACTATTACGTCACTCCACCACTCCCACGTCTCATAATGTATTTGTCTTTTTTTATTAAACGGCCTAAGAGCACATTACCATCCCTGTATATTATGTCATTCCATACATAAAAGTGATATTAGAAGGGTCAAATTCCGTAATAGGAGAAAAAAAAAAAATTAACACCTGTTAAAATATTGAGAAAACTGGTAATCTTCTCGAAAACATTAAGAAAATTGAGAATCCTCTCAAAAGTATTGAGAAAAATCAGAATAAATTTTAGAGAACTTCTTGTTTTTTCTCGTTTGTACTTTCGCTTTTCAAAAATAAATATCTGAGCATTTTCTATTTCTTATATTAATAGTATTAATAATCTCATATCTAGTTATTATAGTGGAAAAACATTATTGCCAGGAAAATACTTGGAAGTAATTTTTTAACTTTTATGTTTATTGTTGAAGCATTGTTGGGGCATTGTTGTTAAAAAATAATAAACCAGAGATCGATCGATAAATTGAAAATAATTCTTTAGATCTTATATACTTTATATAGTTAAGTTTGTAATTACCTTCTGAACATTTAGCCCCCAAAATCAAAGTATTATTCATAAACGGAGTAGCATACGTCGATTGCACAGTCGGA